TCATGTTCTGAGCAGGATACAAAACTCCTTCCTCCTCGTGGGATGAGTCCCTTGTTTCAGTTGGTCTTTTTGTGTCAAAAAAAGTGATTTATGGGACAGCAGCTCAGTTCCAAGGAACACGCTTGAACAGGCTTTAGGGGTGAACATTGGTTAGCCACCACTCACAGAACAGACAAGCTGCTGTTACACAGGTGGGCATCTTTTTCAAGACTGGGTTTCTCTCTGTTGACCAGGCTGTCATCAAATTGAGATCCACCTACCTCTGCTTTCCGAGTCCTGGAATTAAAAGTGCACTCAGCTCACATCTTACTATCCAGCGGGTTTCTTTACACTCTTTATGCTGGTTAATCCTTAGTAGTTTATGTTCTGCTATCCCTTCTCCCCTGAGCTCCCTGTCCTCATTTTCTGTCTCATAGTGGAAGTCCATTTTTGATAGAGCATACTAAAGGCTCGAACCTATGTGTCATTTGTCTCTGGGCCTGGATTACTTCACTGTGTTTACTGGTGGTATTGAGGAGTAACACCAGGGCGTTGGTTATGTGATGCAAACCCTTTACCACTGAGCTACATCCCTACCTCACTTTGATTGTTCCCAATTCTGTCCATTTCCTTGTAAATTGTACTTTCTGTCCAGCCGAAGTACAAGGGTACACATGTACTACGTCCTTGTCGTGCAGTCACCAGTTGTTGGGTATGTAGGCTGTCTCCATTTTCTAGCTACTGTGACCTCTGAATGGATTAAGGCCCACTTCTCAGGGGACAAGGGGACCAATGCCTGGTACTCTAAGCTTGATTGAAAATCTAGGCCCGGGAGGTAGTAGGCCCATGCAGGGATCCTATTTCTGATGGTTAACTAATTGGACACAGCAGTATACTGCCTTCTAAACACACCCATGCTTATACCTGCAGATAGAGTAGCCTTCATCTTTCATCAGAGAAGCCTCCCCTCACAGGATGCAGAGAATGAGGGACAGTTGTGGGCTTAGCCCTGAACAAGTCACTTACACGTCCCCCTGCTCTAATGATTAGAGCACACTGGAAGAGGGGCGTGTATGAGTCAGAAGACAAGTGAAGGGCTACAAAGTGCCATTCCCTAGATTTTACGTGGCAATATCACAGCCTGGAACAACTGCAGTTGTCTGTGCTGGCCACAGGAGATCAGCCTGTGAACAAACAGCCAGGGAGGTGGGTGGGGCTCACAGGACCTTCCTTTCATCCAGGACTATTGCCGATGCATAGACTCAGTGAGACTCACTGTCTTTGGATGCATGCAAGTTGTACTAAGCCCACTGGACTCCAAAGCAACTTCACACTCATGGAGACAAACATGGAACTGGTGGGTCTCAAAACAAGAAATGAATTAGAGAAATTTGTGTGGGGTGTTGGCAGGGGTAGTTGGAAGGTGGGAGGTGAGAGTATGCTGGGCTTACCTGTCTTAAACCGAAACTATCCAACTACATTGTAGCATGGCGCCACCTGGTGTCTCTGTGTGACATTACTTTTCTTTTCTTTTTTTTCCCCCCAAGGCATGGTTTTTCTATGTAGTCTTGGCTGTCCTAGAATTCAGTCTGTGGAGCAAGTTGGCCTCAAACTCAGAGATCAGCCTCTCTCTGCCTCCAAGTGCTGGGATTAAAGGTGTACGCCACAACCACCTGGCTGACTCTGACTCTAAAGGTTCCTAACTATGCCCTGGGAGAGACTCTTCTCTCCAATTGCCAAAGAACTCAAGTTGCAAAAACTCACACCAGAAGCCCACATTGTAAAATTGGCTGAATTACAACAAAACATTCACTCTCAACATCCGAGAGCTGTAATAGAAACTGAAGAGAGCTGGACCTCAGACTTGGCCCTGCACTAAGAAATGCTTGTTAAAAACTTGTGTGTGCATGACACCTGTATGGGCACATGCACGGAGGGAGGCACAATTTTGTTGAGTTGGGTCTCTGCTCCTGCCTTAATGAGGGCTCAGTTGTTAGGCTTGCCCGTCAGGCACTGTAGATGTTTGCCCTTTTGGTATACAGTTTACGTATCCTCCCTTGGAGGTATGTGAACAACAGTATCTCCCTACTTCCCAGCCTTTTGTTTTTACAAACAGTATGTATGTCTTTTAATACTGTCAAGTCTATTTAAAAAAAAAAAAAAAAGGACGGCATCTGTGTGTAGCTTTGGCTGTCCTGAGACTCTATGTAGACCAGAACTGTCTTGAACTGACAAGAGCCCTATCTCCCTCTGATAGTTGAGTGGTGGAATTAAATGTATGCTTCAGTATGCTTTACTCAATTGTTCTTTAAAAAAACCCCAAATCCCAACAGGTAGGTTCCACACATGCATGACTTACCAGAGCAGTAGTCCAAGACTGTAATTTTTTTGAAAAGCTTTTAATGGCAGGTTCAACTGCCCCTCCCCGACTCCTTATCAAGGCAGGGACTCACAGTACCAGGCTAGCCTTAAACTCACGATGCAGTGGATGACAGTGACCTTCTCATTTCTCCACCTGCACCTTCTGGTATGGAGTTGGGCAGGTACTCTCCCAGGAGGCTCGTTCACTCCACTTGAAGCTCCTTGGTATTCCTAGCATGGTTCTGGGGAGCTGTTTTTTTAGCACCAACTCACAAGCCTGTTACTTCGATGACTTCACAATTACGGTTCTTTCCTGTTGCTAACCAGGGTTACTCCTCACCCTTACATTCTCACCACAGATTTTCACAGAGCTTACCTGTATCCATTTTGGGCATATTACCTAACTAGTTTATGCTGCTATTAATCTTAGTTTAAGTATTATTGGTATTATTCTAAATTAACTTACTGCTAATCACAATTATTACTGAGATATTATTTTTTTGTCTAATATACCCATCTCAAAGCTATCAGCTTCCCTTTAAGTGTGCTGTTAAAACTGATGGGGTGGCAAATGGGAGCCAGAGGCAGGTGATCTCTGTGAGTTGAGGCCAGACCTGTCTATAAGATGATCTCCATGACAGGGCCACAAAGTTGAGATCATTTCAAAAGTAAATCTTAAAAATTACATTTATTTTGTGTGTGCATGCATCTGCCACAGTACATGGACGTTAGGGGCAGCTTACAGGACTCAGTTCTCCCCTTTCACTGTGTAGGTTCAAAGATTGAACGCAGATCATCAGGATGGCAAACGTCTTACTCCCCAAGCTTAATGTAAGCACGGAACCCTGATATTTGTTTAAAAAATATCTGCTTTTCTTATATGGGGCTTCTGCTTCCTCTCCCAGTGACTGACTACAAGTTTATGCCACCGTGCCTGACTTTGCTGGTACCTTCAGTAGCCAAATGCTCCATTTTGCTGTGTGGTCTGGGCTCATCTAGCATCCACTGTCTGCAGGTGTCGGAAGTGTTTCCCATATGGATGGGCTGTGTCCTTTTTACTCCCACATATTCATTCAACTAGGGAAGGCTCGGCTTCCATCACATGCTAGGGCAGCTGGAGGATTTAAACTATGAGGCCTGCCGGGTAGGGAAGAGAAGCTTTCTTCAATAATGTCATCACTGGTAAGGCAGTTCATGCTCCTGTAGGCAACCCTACTCAAACTAAACAAAGGAACCCAACGTGACCACTCCCAACATTGCACCAGACACGCTGGCCAGTGTAGTAAGGCAGAGACTGGAAATGAGCACCATGAGGATTAGAGGCTGTGATCCCCACAGCTAGATCCCCAGGAACCCAGTGTTACAAGGGAGACTTCATCAAACAGTATCACGAAGGGCAAGCATTAGTTGTACTGGCCAACTGCATCAGACATATTACACACTTACCTGCATACCTCGAGTGAGGAATAGGCTGGCTGGACTGCTCCTGAGGCTACCCTTGGGATGGCTAGCTCCTCTCAGCTGTTCTCTTCACAGGCTTCTAGGGATGAAGTTTAGTGGGGTCTCAAGGTGTGCTATGGACTAGACCCATGAACAACAGGTCCCCAAGTATGTAAATTACTGTTTGTTACCTAGACCTGCTAACAAATTACAAGGTGGGTTAGCGACAGAAAACATTGTCAGTTCTGAGTTCTAAAAGCCCAAACTCACGGTGAAGGCAAAGACTTGTTTCTCAAAGAACGTAACATACAGGGTCCTTTTCAAACTGTCTGCCCATTCTTGAGCAAAAGGTTGAAAAAAACCTGTGTTTGGATGGGAATCTGGAGCCCACAGGTGTTAGTTCCCATCTGAGAAAACCTACATATAGAGGGGTCTGGGAGATACTTTACTGGCAAGGTCTAGAGTGACCTGAATCCAAAAAAGAAATGGCTACCTGCGTATGACCCAAGGCTGAGTAGAGAGGCTGTACAGGCTCACTGGCTGCCACGGAAGCTCACACACTGGATCTCCTTGTTCGTTTACTCACTGGACTATATGGGGTCCACTGCTGTCACAGCACGTGTGTCTTAAACTTCCTTATAGGTTCCAGTCTACACGGTGGCTCTGATGACCTTGGTGTGAGCAGAGCTTCTGAAAAGCTCATTCGCCAATAAAAAGGGACCATGTTTTTATTTGATTGAGATGATGCCCTGAAATGAATGGAGGCTGACAAGTTCTTTAGGGCCCAACAGCATCTGTCCCAACTGTGACAGTCTGCCCATGGATATTTCTTGTTAGAAAGCAAGTTCAATGGGGTTTGAAGTCATTGTTACTTCATTTGCAACAAAAAACATCTTTTAAATTACTCCTGATTTCTCTGGTGACTTGGGAGGCAACACAGGTCCCAAGTTGGCATTCTTGTTAAGTTTAATTAGGGTGTTCTAGGCTGGCTTCAAACTATCCATTTAGTGGAAGGTGACTTTCAAATTCTGGTCCTCTTGCTTCCACATCCCCAGTGCTGAGGCTGTAGCTATGTGTAGTGATATCCACTTTTATGTGGCTCTAGGAATCAAATCCAGGGCTTCGTGCATGTTAGGGGGTGAGCGGTCTCCTGATGAGCCACCCTGAAGCCTGTACACTCCTTTCAGTCCCATGGGTTTTATACACTTGGGAAAGAAGCACACAGTTAATGCATGTTCTTTATTGGTTCTGATGAATTAGGAGATGTGGTAATAAATGATACCCTTACATTTTCTTAACCAAAATATAACAAGTATTTACATTCAGTAAAAATACAAAGCATACAGAGGCACTGTCTTTCTAAAAGACATAAGTTTAAGAGGCATCAAAAACCAGAAGACAACATTGCTTGTGACAGGATGCCTTACAATCATTGAATTGTGCAGATAATTGTCACTTGATCCTAGCAACTGTGCAATTTTGCTTTTGTTTTTGACAAACTCACATTTCAATTTTAAAACACCTATCAAGTTCAACTGCATTCATTTTGTACAATAAAAATAAAAAAGGCCTTTTAAACAACACGAAAGCTAAAGACGACTGGGGCTCAAGTATCCACTTGAGAATGTACCTGACTCATCTTGGTGGACTCCACCTTTTTTGGAGCATGTAATAGGATGCTGCAAGGATACACTCAATGTCTTCTAGAACCTTTACATCCAAATAATCACTGCTTTACATTTTTAAGGAAATCTTTTTTCCTTTTTCTTTCTTTGTAATTCTGTAAGGAGATCTTTATGGTTACTGCTACTCTTCCAGCTTGGTAGAGACCATGGAGGTAATCAACATGTCACCCTCATAAATACTCTCTAAAGGACTTTTCTCCTCAAAGGTCATTTATAAAGACATCAGTTAGAGGAAATGAAGTTTGGTGACTGCAAGTAACCTTGCTGTAAGCAGTGGCTGGACTCACTAATCTCTAAATGGTTTACTATGAGATTTTGTTGAAATTTATTATTTGGCAAAACTCTGTACTAACAGTCTCCTGCTTTGATAGTTTTGGCAGGTGCTGTGCACTAGTGTTTTTAGTAATGTTGCACACTTAGAACAAGGACAAATGGGGGCTTGGACCTGGAACAAGCATGGGCTTTAAGGCTTCCCTTGCTCTAGTCACACGACAAAGTAAAAAAAAGCAGACATGATTTTTTCAGGGACTCATATACACCAAACTACAAAGCATTTGGTTTTTATTCTGATCAATGTGATCAGTTGGTCTGAACACTCACAGATAAAGCTCGATTAAAACCAAGGCAGCTTACACAATGCAGGTGTGCAAGACATTTTCATCTTTAAGGACCAAGGCAGGAAAGGGTCCATCTGTTTAAAGACCTGGTGGATAAAGAAGCGGTGCAAACAGCATATTTTTCAGGAGCAATGGATAGAAAATGGTGACAATGAGTACCCAAACTTGGATAAAAAGGTAGGTATAGCAAAAATATTTCTTTTGTTTTGGACATGAAAACAATCTGCAAGTAGGTGAATAAAAAGATTCACAATCAGAAAACAGCACAGTTCATAGGCCAGATCAGTTAAGCATGGCTGTCAAGCTGCAGCTGACACTCAGGCTACTTTGCACTTAAAAGGGTCAGTAAGGCTGTGCGGCGCGGCGCGGCACGGCACGGCACGGCACCTGGGCTCATGTCTAAGGCTTTTGGGTAAATGTTTCCCCAGGGGAATTCTTCAGCCATTATGTTTCCTAGAGACAGGCATTCTGTGGGAAGACACAATACTGTTACATTTGGAACTGTTCTGACTCTCGAGTGATTGGACAGAAAAACAGGAAGAGAGAGCAAGGGAAAAGTACAAACTTGAAAAGGCAGTTGGTCACATGACTGCTCTGTAGCAAAGCTGCCATGGTCAGTGCACTTTCAATGGCTTTGGCTTTTTTTGTAATTACAGAAGTTTATGAAATCTTATTTGCCTTTACATTAAAAAGCAAATCAAAACCTTTAAACATATATACAAAATGTTATACTTAATTTGTAAAACTGTGAAAAGTCCACTTTATTTAATAAGCAGTCACTGAATTTGAATTATATACTTAAGAGTGCCATGTCCAGGAGGTCAAAAAGAATGTCCCTTTTAGGATAGACGTCTCCTCCATTGTTCTAGCTTCTCTCTCTTATACGAGTCTACCTCGTAGTGACTGAGCTCTGTGGAAAGCTCAAAGCTCAAGTTCAATGATTGCACATGTCGTTGTGTGCTGTAAGCCACAGCACAGGCCCAGGGAACCTCCACCATTGCATCCATGAGAATGAATATATATATGTATTTTACTTTTTTGTATAGGGGTATTTTGACTGCACGTATGTCTATGTACCACATGCATGCAGTGCCTGTGGAGGTCAGACAAGGATGTCGGATCCCCTGGATCTGGAGTTACAGGCAGTTGTGAGCCACCACATGAGTGCTGGAATTAAACCGGGCCCTCTGCAAGACATCTTAACCACTGAGCCATCTCTCCAGCTCCTACAATATTTCTTTTAAACTAGGAATTCCATACTTATGCTGTGAAATGTTAGCTTAGGGTTTCTATAGAATAAAAACTCTTTAGAAGCCATTGCCAGTGGGTTTGTAGTATCCTCAGAATTGGATGCAACAAGATGTTCATTTCAGAAACAAGTTCAATGCTAGTCTTTCCTTCTTTGAAATTAGAGTTCTCCCTTCCTATTCCGGCTTTGCTCTCCTTTCCTAAAGCCCGCTAAGACCCCTGTAGCTGCTGTAGCCCACATCATGATGTGCTGGCTGCTTGCACTACACCTGTACAGGTGACTAGTTCCCACCGGAGTGTCTGCTACAATGGTGCCGCATCTCCGTACCTGTGTTGGGATGATGTCTGCTGCTCAAACCACAGACAGCTTTATAGACTAAGACAAATAACAGCTAGCAAGAGCTTTTGAATACAAACAAAACCACAATACTTCAAATCATAAGTTACTTTTCAAATACACAAGACTATCCTTGGTATTGGTAGACATTTTGAATGTGTCCTTTTAGCCCAAGCTATGGCTTGGAAATAATAATACCACTATCTTTAAAATGACTCTCGAAAAGAAAAACTTATAGTGATATACGGGGGACAACTCTGAGCTTGATGTAGTAGTCCCAAGGCAGGAGTGATGTGCAAAGTATAGGTTGAGATCAGGTGCAACACCCAGGTAAGGGCCTGCATCTTCAGGGACAGAACAAAAGGAAGCACGACTCAGAAGAGCTCATCCTCCGAGCCAGTGTGGGAGCCACAGCACTAGTGGCAGCAGTGAGCTGCTGGCCTTGGCCTGCAGAGCCACGTGCTCTTGTCCATGGTCCTGACTTCCAGTGGTCTCCCATGAGCTGTCCAAAGGCTAGACTGCTGACACCTGCTCATTTTCTGAAAATAATGAAGACATAATTAGCCAGCACATCTATCTGTTAATGCAGATCAAACAATAACAGACAGATTATCTGCTACATAAGAAGCTTTTCTATCTCAACAAATCTTGGTGGATATCCCATCAAGGCCCAGGTTTGACTGTAACACTAAGGGCTAATAGAAAACTGGACATTTCAAAATTAAAATTCTTTTACACTTATTTTTGTGTGTGTGTGTGCATAAATGCCACTGTGCATGTGTGAAGTGTCAGAGGACAATTTGCAGAATTGCTTCTCTTTTTCTGGGGATAAAACTCAGGTCATCAGGCTTGGCAGGAAGTGCCTTTACCTCCTGAGCCATCTTGCTGGTCCCTGTAGGTTCATTTTCTTTGTGTGTACATGCACATGTGTATAGGTACATATGTGTGTATGCATGTGTATGGAGACTAGAGGTTGACATCTGATGTCTTAATGGATGGATCACTCTATTTTATTTACTCTCTATACCCAGACAGGATCGCTTGTTAATCTGACTAGTCTACACAGCTAGCTTGCTCTGGGAATCCTGTCTTGACTTCCCTAGTGCTGGGATTTTGGCCACTCTACTTCCCAGTTTTTACATGGGACTCTGAATTCTGATCTTCGTGGAGCCATCTTCCCAGATAGTTTTAATGTATCACTTTACTACTATACTGTGTAGAAGAATAAAACATTTATTTTTAGTGCGGCCACTACTTTTTAAACTTTTGCTACAGTTACAAAGTTCATTAAGTTTTGCTTGTCAGAGGAGCTAAGCCAAGGGTGTCTTTTAGACAACTGTCTTTTCTAAAACTTTACTCAACAGACATTAGGTGCTTTCTCTCAGAATTCTCCTATTTCATTATCAAAGACAATGGTACTCCATTTGAGCTGGCATCAGAGCAGTGGGCACAGAGATAGCAGCCTGACTCTGTGTGTGTGTGTGTGTGTGTGTGTGTGTGTGTACAGTATTTGTGAGGGGAGGCCAGGAGCACTTTTTGTGGTGTTGGTCTCTCTGAGGGCCAGAACTCAGGCTCCCAGGCCTGCACAAGTACTATTGATGAGCTCAGTAGAATAATAAATACAGTTTTGTTTTTTTTTTTTTAGCAGTGGAGACAGAACCCAGGACCTCATTTGGGCTAGTCACCCTTATCACTGAGCTATACTCCTAGATCCAAGCTTTCAAAAAAAAAAAAATTAAAGAGATTAAGAACCTTATAGATTATCACAGCCACTGGAGGAAAGACCCTTTTATGCTCCACAACCCACTTAGAGCCACCGAGACAGTTTGTCAACGTACCATCTGCTTCACTATCTGCATCAGCCACATCTGCTAGTCTGGGATGGGACGGCTGCAAGCTATGCCTCTGAGGCTGGGATCCGGTCTTCGAGGGAACCCAGGCCGAGGTGTGGCTGCTGGGAGGAGCTGGAGGCAGTCTAGCCAGGCTGTTAGGCATCATCTTTGATCTCTGTACTGCCACACTATAGTCGGGAGGTTTTAGGTGCAGGTGGGGTCCTTCCTTTAGGTCCGCTAAAGAAATTCCCAGATATCCTGGAGGAGTGGGAGGCGGCTCCCTATACCTATCGCCTTTCTTGGGTGAGGTGACACAGTACACTGGGGTGAAAAAATAAGCAGTGGAAATGTTAATGGAAAAACATAAGAAACAAAGGAAAGAAAACTCCACACTGAACAACACAATGGCAAAAATATAACTTAAAAACAGACAAAATAAATACACTTAAATACAATGATAGCAAACTAAAAATGTTCTTACAAACACTAATATTTAGACCTATCAGATATTTTAAGAAAGCTCCAAACACAGACAGCTACATGAAGCCAGAGAACAGTGACAGGACGGACACCTCTCCCCAGGGACAGCCCTCACACCCAACAGCTCAATCAAATCCTCAAGCCTGAAGACAACCTGTCAGAAACACACTTCTGCTGGCTGAGAAGCATCTACTTTGAATCACAGCATTGGCATATGGGTCACAGAGACTGTCTTCTGGGGCTCAGGGGGACACATTTTCAGTCCAGGCATGAAAACCAATGAGCTTTTCCAAGTTTAGACGAACTAATTCTTTGTGAGATCTTATTTTTGTTTTGAGAAAGGGTCTTTACACAGCCCTGGCTGGCCTAGAACTCACAGAGATCTCCTGCCTCTGACTCCTGAGATTAAAGGCGTATGCCACCATCCTTGTCTAGGATCTTACTCCTAAATCTTCTTTTTGATTAAAGTGTAGAAAAAACCCCCGAAGTTTAGAAAATGTGACCTTAAGAAAATGGTAACTTTTCCTTTTGCTAAATGTATAATAAGCCCAAAAAGCATCAGAACAAGAAAGGAGTGAAGCCCACTCAACTACCTGTTGATTCCACAAAGAACATTTAAGAAGGCACTCTGCCAACACACGAGCAGAATGGATTTAAGGGGTAGTAAATAATCTTCCCTTCTACATCTCACATCACACCATCACAACAAAGAGCTGTGTCCTTGTGGATTTCTAGTCTTCTACCCGTAAAACTCGCAAGGTCAGAACAGGCCTCTGCTTTCATCTGAGGACAAGCACACATGACTATGGATGGCAGTAGAAAAGTTGTCAAGAGAAGAGAAAAATGAAGAAGGATTTACCCAAATCACCAAGAAGTGAAAGATATTAAAATTAACACTCAGAGGGACCTATGCTTATAGATTCCTAGAATCCTGAGAAATACTACACAAACCCAAGACGCTACAAGATTAGCACATTTGATGGTCATTTCATGTAACAGGAAAGTAGAGATATTATGTGAAAGTATTCATGTAATTCAGGGAGTAAACAATTTGATGACTAAATATACTGCAAAAGCTTACTAGACAGCAACCCTCAAATCAGCTGACACCTGGTGATGTACACCAGGCTAGGTACACAAAAATCCCTGAGGAGTCTCTTTCTGTCTCTGTGGTGCCTGGAGTTCGTGCAGGGAGCATGGCGCTAAGACCTGCTTTATCACTGAGCTGGTTCAGTATCTCAGCATGTCTCTCTGCCTAAAAGTAAGAGGACCCGTTGTTTCTGTCATGTATACATAGCAACTGTGGTCCCAACAATCTTTTCTTCCCCTGCTCATACTCCTAATGGCTTGAGTATCCACTTTAGAAAAGGCATCACCAAGGCTTTACCCGTGTGTCTGTGTGTTCCGTGTATCTGAGAGATAAGTGTGTTTTCAGTTAATATCATTGTTAATTCCGTTCTTGTTTCAATAGAAATACAAGGACATGCATGACAGAGGAAAACAAAGCTCTGGAGAAGCCAAGAATTTTGGGGCAATAAATTATGGAGGGAAGAAAAAAAGTATAGAGTGAGAGAAATAAGATCTGGTAAAGATAGCACCATATCTCTTTATAGGGAGAGGGGCAAATAATGCCTCAGCATCAGTGATAAACAAACCTGCACTTACCAATCAAGCCCTTGTCTGTACTGGAAGTGACAGTTTTATAAACAGGGTCAGTGGTATCCCTCAGCTCCAAGCCATCAGGTGCCCCTGCTGGTGCACTTTCCAATACCCTCCGCTTAACTGTCCCGTAGTTTGGTTCACATGTGTCAGACAGTGAACTGGATGAGGCCCAACTCTGCCTCAGCTGGTTCGTCTCTAGGCAGCCTTTGCACTGGCCACAACTTCTTGAGCAGCCTTTAGGACAGGCACAGGGCTCAGAGTCAGTGGGCTCAACTTCAGCAATAGGGTCATCTAAATGTGTATGTCTGTAAGAATTCAGAAAGTCCCAGCTTTTTTGATTTTGAAGGCTTTGGAAATTGTCATGGGAGCTGCTGGAACAGGAAGTCCAACTGCCCCGACCACTGTCAGCTGCTTCCAGTAGAACATGCTCGTGAGACATCTCTTCGCTGCTCAGAGAAGACGAGACAGCTATACCCTTGATAAGAGATGGCTTTGACAGCATCCACCTGAAAGTAGAACAAACAGAGAAACAATGAGCAATCCGGTAGGGCACTGGAGACTTCCCAGCACATGTCCCTCCTATAAGAGACCAGGACACATCAGATCCTTAGCTAGGCAATGTTTCCTCTAAGAAATCCTGACTGACTTTAAAAGATGAAATTTGAAATGAGTGGGAAACGGGATGGAGAGACAGCTCAGTGGTTAAGAGCACCAACTGCTCATCCAGGTCCTGAGTTCAATTTCTGGCAACCACATGGTGGCTCACAACCATCTGTAATGGGATCTGATGCCCTCTTCTGGTGTGTCTAGAGAGAGCAATGGTGTACATAAAATAAATAAAATCTTAAAAAAAAAAAAGAAGAAATGAATGGGAACGTCTATCTTTGTAAAAACACTGCTCCCTCAATGTGGAAAATTCAGCATTTCTAAGCAGAGAAGCCATGGTTTATTTTTTCACAAACGTAAGTAAACTAAGTATGCAAGGAAGTCAACAACACCTTCCCAAAGTGCCTACTACACAGATGCATTACAGCAAGGTTTCCAAACATGGGCTCCACGCAGCCAACAGTCTGCTTCTGTACAGTCTGGGGTAGAGATGGTTTCTATTCAACCTGCGGCACGCATGCTGGCACTAATAGCTACGGACATACCACAATACAAAATCTGTAAGCATATAAATTAAATATGCTAGCCGGGCAGTGGTGGCGCACGCCTTTAATCCCAGCACTTGGGAGGCAGAGGCAGGTGGATTTCTGAGTTCGAGGCCAGCCTGGTCTACAGAGTGAGTTCCAGGACAGCCAAGGCTACACAGAGAAACCCTGTCTCGAAAAAAACCAAAATAAATAAATAAATAAATAAATAAATAAAATATGCTTATAAAAACATGGTGAGGCATTTTTTCTTTTCTTTTTGAAGTAAAGACGGACTCAATTGTGCTTTTCTTGAAAGTCAATTTTTTTTTTTTGAAAGACAAAATCGTTTCAATGTCAAAATGCTAGACATGGGAATACAGACCAATGCTTGGTCCTACTCTCCTAGCTCCTGTATTGTGCATGCTAGCCTGGAAGTCTGCTGTATGATACAATCTTTCTGCAAGAGCCACATCTCCAGTAACAACAGCAGGCACACAGTGTTCTTAGTGAGTGACAAGACACACGGCAGAAAGTAACCTGAATAAAGAGAGTCCAGGAACACACAAAGGGTATCTACCAGGTGGTCGCATCAGCACATTCCTTTAGTCTCAGCATTTGGGTGGTGGAGGAGGAGCTGGAGGAGGAGCTAGAGGTGGAGCTAGAGGTAGAGTTGGAGGTGGAGGGATCTCTGTGAGTTCTAGGACAGCCAGGGCACACAGAGAAACTTTGTCTCAAGAAATAAAAACCAAAACAAAACAATAAACAAAGGATATTTGTTTATCTTTCAAGTAGTATGTATTTCTGCACTCAGTGTGTACAAAGGGCACAAATATAGCTTCATACTCTTACTCAGTATGCCATATCCCTAAGCTACTGGGGGAGGGTGCAGGTCAGGCTCTGAATGTCGAACACTGGTTCTGCTTTTGAGATAGGAACGCAGACATGGATGTTTACCCATGAGCAAGCTGACTGTGGTCTGAGATCCCTGAAGGGTGATCTGTCTTTTCCAATGCCCCTGTGGGCTCAGGAACTGCTAGGCTGTGGGTGGAACAGCGTTCATCCTGCCCGGCTGCAGACATGGAGTCGACAGAACCATTGCTCACAATGCTGGACCGAGAGGAGATTTCACTGTGGCTGGAGTCAGACAAGTTGTCACATTTACTTGATGGTGTGAGTGTATAACCTGAATGATAAAAGAACACCAATCAAACTTCAAAATAAGGGCACATACAGGGGCAGCCATGGGAGGCCAAGAAAAAAAAAAATGAAGGCCAAAAAACAAAGTAGGAGGAAATGTCAGGATTCATGCTTGAGGATGTAAGGATGGCAACTTCTCCACTCTTTTCCCTGTACAGCCATTCACCTACCATCCACAACCACACCCATAGAACTCCATATTGCAGGAAAATGTCAAAATCTAGTATTACTGTCCCAGACTCACATACTTTCAAATTTTCAATAAAACAAGAGCAGTGGATGCATACATTATAAACATTAACAAATACATATACTACAATTTTCAACCTTGTTTTAACTCTGTATTCCCTTCTTTGACATAAAATATTTCATGGCCCACCCTGTGGAAGCGGTAGGCAGGCTCAAAGAACTGTACTTGGAAATCTTCAAAATGCATACACTTACCTCAGATATTCTACTTACTCTACCCAAATATAGGACCATTATTTCAATCAATCATTTGTGGTGATTCTAAGAATACAATTCAGGCATTCTTGTTCTGGTTGGGCAAAGGCTTTAGCAGTGAGAGCTCCAGTTTTGTTTTTGTGTACAGGTGTGCGGGTGCACACACACATTAGTGGTGTATGCACATGTTCATGTGGCTAGGTGTGTAAGTCAGAGGCTTATCAGTACGATGTTCTCCTTACATTGTTCTCTGCCTTACTGTTTGTAAGACACGGAATCTGTTACTCAGCAGCTGGCTAGCCAGAGAGCCCAGGTGTGCTCTCATCCCTAACTCCCTGACCCATGCTAGGGTTATATAATGCATAATGGATTTTTACCTAGATGCAGGGGACAGGGACTCAGGTACCCACATTTAAAGGCCTTCCTAACCCTGGTTCAGTTTACTTAAGCAAATTGTTTTAGATTTTGACATGATTAACTTTGTTAAGAATTAAATAGCTGAGCATAATGCACCAGCACAAAAGACCTGTCTGCTTTGGATGGATAAAAGGGCAGGGAGAGAGTATGGTGAAGAATCTAAAACCATATCTACAGTGTGATGGCTAAATGTACAAAGTGGTCTATTTTGATAATAGCAAGAAATCATACTTTGGTTTCAAAATGAAAGAAAATGCTGTAGCAGTTCCACAAGGGGCTGGCCTTTAAGAAGCAACAATACCTTCTTGTTCACAGGGCAAAGTGAGGTCTGACAGGTCATGTGAGTTTTGGATCAATTCTCAAAATATCACTAAAAAAGAAATGGAGGCCTTTATATGTTCCTGGTCCTCAGTACCACAAAGAAGACAGCAAACTAAGTGCTAGGGTCTCCTTTGGCCTTAAGGATTTTGGCATGTGTGACTAAATTTACTGAAAAAAAAAAATGGCTGTGAAGCAACAACATTTCCAAGAGGTGCCATTAGTTACTTCACAGAAAAATCAAGATCCAGAAGTGTGATTTACCCTTGGGCTTATGGGCCAACAACCCAGTAAGACAGATAAACCAGTGCTTCTGACTTTTACCACACAGCCTTGCATTTGGGCTCACTGTCAGTGTCACCAGTGCCATGAAATGATTATTCAGTTTTTAAGAAGACCAAGACAATAAATATGTCAAATGAAAAATCAAACCAGTTAACCGTCTACTTCCAAGAGAACCACTGCCTTTTTCACTGTACTGAACAGACTTGTTTCACTCTTCCAAATCAATTTGATCCTTATGTTTGTTACACCAGAATTTCTCAAAGGTAACTGATAGTAAGAACTGCCTGGAACATTTATTAAATTACATATACATCTGGCACCCATTCAAATTTATGATCTGGAGTGGACATGGTAATTTTATTTAAAAGTTTCCAGATAATTCTGAACCTGCCGGGGTAACTGCCCTCTTGGCTTACAGGTTTTTTTTTGGTTGTTGTTTTGTTTTGGGGGGGGGGCGCCCAAAGTTGAGGTAGTAAGATGGCAAACAGCTTCCTAAGGAAGCTTTCTCTGATAATTTCACTCAGTCTCAGCTGCTATCAGAAGAAAATACAGTAAAGTACAGAAAACAAGTGGATAAAAATTTACTAACTTAACACAGCAGTCAGAGAACATATGTACAAGTGAGGCACAGTAAATCAGTATTTCTTTGCTGTTAGAGGATCTACAATATGCATAAAATGCTTAATAGTACTTACTACATCGTCTGCCCAATGTCTGACAGATGGCTGAGTTCGAGCTACATTTACATGAATAACTTAAAACAAGTTTAACACTAATATTAGGTAAGGAACTTTTCAGAGAGTCTTTCTCCTTTTAGTCTTGAACCGCGTACAGAAGCAGCTTAGCGCGGTACTGTATCCTTGGCTACTCGAGTCGTGGATGGCATTCCCTCTCTCATCTGTGATGTTGCTTCCAACATCCTTCACTTTCTCACAGCTGTCTGTAGCTTGATTGTGATGTGCATCCTCTTTTTGGTTGTTGACTAGTCTCTCCCTTGAAAGCGTTCTCTCCCTAAATCTTCTAAACGGGGATGTCATCCTTCTCCTGGTAGTGTCCTCACAACTTGTCCTGTCTCTACTCTCCTCAGTGGCCTTCTTGGTCCTGTCTGTTCTTTTGGCTGTGCTCCCAGTAATCTGAAGGATTTTCTTTTGCAAGTAAACCCCACCTATTCCGGGGCAGCTCTGGCCACTGATCTTGGTGCTGGGCTCACGGGGAGGGGATGAGGAAGGCCCTGAGAGATGTAGCAGGATGCTGTGATCAGATGGGATACTGCCAACTGGAGGAAGAGATGCAAAAACCCTGACATGGTCAATTAATTCTTTTCAACTAGTCACAATTAGCTTGGTTTACATAACATTTCACTATTTTAAAATTTTATCATCTTGACAATATCTAAGAACAGAACTATAGTAACAGTTTTTTTTTAATAAATCAAGAAACTGTAGAGCTATAGCTACTGTACAGCTGTACATCTGTTACCACAATACAAGAGGATAGACAGTATCTTGCTCAGAATATGCTGACAAAAAATGCTGAAAGCTAGCCATATTGGTAAAAATTATAAAGACAAATATGACAACAATATCAGGTAATCTGAACCACTCCTTAAAAGAAATAATGCTTTAGAATTTTCAGGAGATTTTAATTTAAAAAAGCTCAGTAAAAACCAAATAGGACATACACAGGATTTATAGATGCACTTCTATAAAGCACTGTTTCTGGTGCATGTGGGGCTCCAAGACAAAGGAATATTCAGGTTGTTTGGCTTAACCTGCACTGCGTGTGCGCACTCTGTGTGTATGTGCAGGTGCCCCAGTGGAGGTCAGAAGACAAGCTAAGTGATGCTCTCCCTAAGGAGCAGCTCATTGATTGGCCCAAGTGATCTGTCTCTCTCCTCCCCAGAATTATGAAGGTGCTACCATGCCTGCCATTTTACATGTTGCTAGCAGTGAACTTAGGTATTCATACTTGCATAGTAGGTGCTTTATTGACTGAGCTGTCTCCCCAGCTCTTGGCTTCTAAGTTCTTGTTTAAATTCTCCTTATGAAAATATGAAATAGGGTTACCTTATTAGTGATGAGAAAAAACCTAATTCCAAAGTTTAACAGGAACTGAGAACAGACGAACAATGGACTTGTACTATAAAAATTTTGTTCACCCACAGGCCATTAGCATGTACTTGTTTATGGAAATAGAGGTACTGAGGTGGGGTTGGGTTTTTCTTTTCTTTTTGGAAGGGTCTCACTATGCAGGTCTAAGTGGCCACAAACTTGCTATAGCCCCCAAGGATGTCCTAGAATGCATGTCAGGTCTTTCTGCCTCTGCTGGCTGAGTGCTGGTATTACAGGTATGTACCACTCACTATGCCTGGCTGTCTTGATGGAGTCTTGAAATATTTAAGAATATAATCTCTGAAACTGAGAATTCTTCTTAAAAAAAAAAAAAAAACCCTATGTCAGGCCCACACTTATAAACATTAAGGTCAACAGTCAGCTACATATTGAAAGACAACAGAGAGAAGGAGAATTTACACCAGTTTAAGAATAGCTTTTTGGACTGGTGTGGTGGCACATACCTTTAATCCCAGTACTTGGGAGGCAGAGGCAGGTGGATCTCAATCCTAGCCTGGCCTACATAGCAAGTTCCAGAAAAGAAAAAGCAAAACAGTAAATTTTTCTTGGGATATCCTTATCCATAATATTTCTTTTTAAGGCACAGTAAGCACAAACCACAATCAGACCTAGCAGCTTCTTCCTTACAGAACTGTCTGTGCAGTTTCCAAACTCAGGCCCTTTACATTTGACCACCTGCCTGACTACAGGCTTGTTTGCTGCTTCTAGAGATCTGATGAAGGCATTCTGGATAATCAGCTCATATAGACAGAGAGAAGACATAGGTCTCTGTGTCTTACAAAGTGTAATGAGATGCAGGCAGAATCAGAAACTGCTTTATGAATATACCTACTATACATACTCCTTCTATGTCCTATTTGATTTTCATGAACCATTCCTTAGTAAAATCTCAGCTACCTGACAGCAGAAAGAGCTGGTTGGGGAGTAAGTGAGCTGTGCAACTCTGGGGTAACAGCAGGAAAAGGGACATTTGAATGTATTAATCACTTACCACACATAGAAATAACATTTCTGTTAAACACAGACCCTAAGACCCTAAGACAAAGGGTCTTTCTGGACCTTATGAACAAGTCATGAATAGTAACAAAGAAGTAACAAGGGACAGAGTGTCAACCTCAAATGTTAATATTATTGTGCTGCAGCTGGCATACTCCTAAGGAGTGAAACTTAGATCTTGGGAAGAGAATGACCTGGGGGGAGCTCTAATAGCCAGGACTGCCAAACATAATCTCCCCTCTGGCCAGGCATGGTCCTCTACTGTGATTATATAAAGTGTTTTTTTCTTTTACACTCATGAAGAAGCCAGGACTAGGATGCCCCTTCTCTATTATAGGTTCAGAGTATAGAAGACCAGAGTAAGAAACACATATTCTTTAACATGCCTACATGTGGTCAACATCATGTGGCACCCCAATAATTTAGTTTAGCCAAGAAAATCTTCAGTCTAACTCATGAAAATACATGTAAAGAATCAGGACTTATATCTTTTTTGATTTTGTGTAAATGTAAAAACCCCTAAACAAGATTATTTTAAATCCCCATAAATAAGAAAAACAGAAGAAACCAAAAGGAGCAATATAGATATTTCTTTCCTTTCTTCCTCCCACCCACCCCCCCCCTTTTTTTTTTTTTTTTTTTCCAAGATAGGGTTTCTCAGTGTAGCCCTGGCTGTTCTGGAACTCACAGAGCTCCACCTGTGTCTGCTTCTTGAGTGCTGGGATTAAAGGGTTACGTCACCATGCACAACTAGTATTCCTTATTCTACACTTTGTACTTGAACAAAAACAAAAGAAGCTGGGTTTTTGGGAGCTGGGTTTCTGGCTTTGAACCTATTATGTAGTAAATGACAACCCTGACCCCTTGGTCTCCTCTTCCCAAGTGCTGAGATGATAGGTGTGCAACATCACACCCAGTGTAAATACAATTTGTTGTAGAATTTTACTTGCAAATTCTCCACAGAGATGTTCAATTATATGAAAGTGGGAAGATGGCATTGAGCACTGGCACAGACCAAAACCAACTGTGATTTATGGTCTCATTTCTTCCCATGCTCGCCCTCTTTAAAACAGCCAAGGATCATGCTTTGAATACTGGAGTCCTAGTTACCTGATAACACCTGAAAAACGTTTGAACAGTATGCAATCAAAACTAGGCCTTAGCATTTTCACCTTTCTGCCATTTGCTTATAGACTGAAAGCAAACTGTGCTGAAGTGCTATTTGGTCTGAGAAACATTAGTGGGAAACAGTCCATCTTACCTTTGCGAGGGGAGCTTTGAGGAGATGCAGGAGGGCTAGAGTGAAGAGAGGATGCTACAGAAATAGTGTCTTCTGTGTGTTTCTTACCACTCACTTCTTCAGTTGGTCCTAAACCTTTCTGAGGTAAACCTGAACCTAAAAAAAAAGTGAATAAACAAACCAACAAATAAGCAAATCAGCAACATTTTACAATGAAAATATATGTAGTTGTCTAGATCATTAGTAACTAAAGACAATGGCTGGTATAGTCAACCAAGACATGTAAGTGCAGTTAGGGACTTAAGTGGCTAGGAAACATCATACAGGCCTCAGCTCTACGTTATCTGTTCAACCTCAGCTGGCCAGTACAGCCCAGATTAATAGGCAATTTGCTTTGTGGTATGGTGTCCTAACCCTCACAATTACGTGTGGTACAGGTATTGTTACCACCCGAGTTGCATCTCTGCTGTAGGTATGCACATGAGGCTGCAGGGCTGCCAGGCCAGCCCTTTTCAAGAGCACTAAGTTCATATTACAGAACAAAAGTAAGCAACAGACAGGAAAATTATATGCTTCTTAGGAAGTTCTATCCTACACTAACTAGCTTTTGAGCTTAGGCGAGATTCAAAACGGTTCTAGCCCACTCATTTATTACATATTTTCTAAGAAGTCACTGAGTTTCAGACTACTCTCAACATGGAGCAAGGACAACTGTGGTGAGGAGCTGCTACAGTTACAGCAGTCTTCTGACAAGGCACTCACACCAGCAGGCTCTCTTGCCTCTGGATTTGCTCTACTCTTCCTCCACACTGTCTCGTGTTCAAGTATGTCTCCATCTCCCTCCTCCCCCTCTTCTTCCATCTCCCCTTCCTTGTCTCCTGTTACTCTCTTAACAGTATTACTATGCGGTTCAAGCTGGTCTCAAACTTGTAGCCTGTGTTAACACTGAACATACAATCCCCCTGCTTCAGTCTCCCAAGTGCTAGAATTAGAGGGGTATGCACCATGCAAGATTTCCAATCTTTTTAGTGGTTTCCCAGTGACAAATTTTGTTTGACACCTCTATAATCTAGACATATTTATGACTTTACTTCTCATATCCTTGGGAGGCTGTTTAGTCTGGTGGTTAAAACGCAAGGATTTTAGAGCCAACCAGCCTATGATCAACTGCCAGACTGATCATGTACCGGCACTGTGTCCATCACTAAGAATCCATGTAGAATGAGGCTGTCTTATTCTACCATCTCATAGGCTATCATGAAGATCAAGTAAATATACAAAGTTAATAAAGATGGGCTGTGTCTGAAACTCAGTGTTCAATGTGAGCTTCAAATCCCCAACCCTGACTTTCATTTACTGTCTCTTAACATGCATGCAATTTGTAGTAAACCAAAGTGTTTGTAGCTCCTTACAGACAACAAACATTATCCCTGCCCCTGTTAAAGGCTTCTCTTGCTTTCTTTTAATGTACTGTGTTAGCATACACATAATAAAGAAGCAATCTGTGTCTATAATGACACTAGATTGAAACCTTGGCCATATTTTTTTAAGTCAATTCTGTACTCTCACATCAAATCAAATTAAAATCACATATTTCTAATAAGCATGTAATATGTATAATACATGGACCATGTTAATACCAGGAAACAAAAGTAATCTAGCTTTGCATATAAAAATGGACATAGAGATACTGTTAAAACACCAAATAAAGGTGAATTCCAGTAATGTCTATATGGCTCAACGGGGAAAACAGAGTTGTTGATTATACTTATTTTATGTTTAAAAACTTTTTAAAAGATTTATTATTTTGTGTGTATGAATGTTTTGCCTGTATGCACGTGTGCCAAATGTGTCTGGTGTCCACAGAGGTCAGAGAGGCATTTGATCCCCTGGAACTGGAGTCACAGATGGTTGTGAGTCATTATATGGGTGCTGGAAACCAAACTCAGTTCCCTCTGCAAGAGCAACAAGTGCTATTAACCGCTGTGCCATCTCTCTAGCCCTATTACTTAAACAAAACAAATCACAAACTCCCAAAACTAATCACAAAGATTGATTTTATTATGTGTCTGGGTGTCTGCAAGAGCATATAGATGCCCAAGGAAGCCAGAGACATCTGGAACTCAAGTTACAGGCAGTTGTGAGCCACCTGATGTGATGTGGGTGCTGGGAATCTAACTTGGGTTCTCATGAGCAATCTCTCTACCCTTCTACATTTATTTCCAATTAAAATTTTTCCAGGGAGTCTATGGGGCTGACCCTAGCTGAGACTCCTATCAGCAGGGGATATGGAGACTGAAGTAGCCATCTCCTATAGTCAGGTGGGACTTACAGGGGAGGAAGGGGTACATCAATCTACCCACAAAATCTTCAACCCTCAATCTGTCCTTCCTGTAAGATATGCAGGGATAAAGGTTGAACAGAGATTGAGGAAACAGCCAACCAACAAGTGGCACCATGGGAGACCCATGGGAGAGAGCCAACCCCTGATAGACACTATTAATGATACTTTGCTATGCTTGCAGAAACTAGTATAACTGTCTCCTGAGAGGCTTCATACGGCAAGGGATGGAAACACATGCAGAGACCCACAGCCAAACATCAGGCAGGGCTTGGGGAGTCATGTGGAAGAGAGTGGGTTAGGATTGAGGGAGCTGGAGGGGTCAAGGACATCAAAAGGAGACTTACAGAGTCAACTAACCTGGGCCCATGGGGCTCACAAAGACTAAACTACCAACCAAAAAAATATGTAAGGGCTGGACCCATGCCCCCTACACATTTGTAGATGTGCAGCTTAGCTTTCATGTGGGTTCCCTGAAAACTGAAGTGAAGGTTGTCTCTGACTCAGCTGCCTGCCACTGGATCCCCTTCCCCTAACTGGATTGCCTGGTAGGGCCTTGATGGGAGAGGATGTGCTTAGGCCCATGGCGACTGGATGTCCCAGGGTTGGGTGGTACCCATGGGGGTTTTCCCCTTCTCTGAGAAGAAGGGGAGGGGTCATGGTGGGATGAATTTGTAAGGGTGGGACTGAGAGGAGAGGAGAGATGGAAGGCTGAGATTTAAATGTAAAGTGAATAAAGTGTGTGTTTATATGGCTGTTTTGACTGCATGTGTGCCTGTATACCACATGTGTGCAGTGGTCACAGAGGCCAGGAGAGGATGTTGAATCCCCTGGAACTAAAGTTACAGATGGTTGTGAACTATCATGTGGATGTAGGCAATTAAACCCAGGCCTTCTGGAAGAGCAGCCAGTGTTCTTATCCACTGAGCCACTGCTCTAGCCCCATATTCTTGTGTACTTTACATGTTCTTTTCACCTAATGAGGTTTTCTGGAGGGGGCACTAATGAAAAAGGCATTGTATATGTGTTTTTCATAGTACACAACTTGATTCTCATAGCTTTTGGAGGCTTGCATCTGTAGTATGTGAAATGCAGCTTTGAGTGAAGGATGGACTTCAGCTTGATGTGGTACCTAAGATTTGATGTAGATATTCAAAGATGTACAACTGTGTAAGATTTCTGTTGATAAACAGATTTTAGTAGTACAGAAATCCCACCACTAGTATTTAAAACAGGCTGTCATCAACTATTTTGAAGCAAAATGAAAGCTTTTTGACTCATGATGTCATGACCACAGTCTTGTTAGCACTTAGCTAATTACCTTTGGAAATTAAGAGTAAAATGAGTTTAGGGCTATGAGCACTCACTCAGCACATGGTCTTTGGCTTGTCCTTTCTTCCGGATGGGATGCAGATTAACTGCTGGCACCTGAAGCACTTGGCTTGTTCTGTGTGGCTGATTCGAGTGGACTTTAGCTGTTTGGCCAACTGACCTCAATGGCACAGGAGACATCTCAGATGATTTGGCTGACCTCTTCTCAGTTAAGTTCTTTGTCACTACATGGAAAGAGAGACTGGTCAGGCAACTGCAAATTATTAAGGCAAGACTATTAGCAACGACAAGTAGTTACTTAAAAACTACACACTTTTATACAAACAAATTATCAAAGACCTATTTTCATAAAAAAAATTGAAACTCTAAAACTGCTGTGGAATAAGCTGTTGGCTTCTTAAATTCTTGAATCTATTATCATTATATGTCTCCTGAGGCCAAGTTCACACTCTCACATCTCTATGACTGAAATTCTCTCACTGGATCAACTCAGGTGTACTGCCAGCCATTCTCTAGATGACAGCAGAGTGACCACTAACATGGAAAAGTAACCTACTACCTTCTTTCTCTGTATGTCCCACAGACCTCACAACTCCTCATACTCTCAAAAGACTCTAGCAAGCCCTGTAAAGCCATGACGATCAGCCTGCCTCCACCATGTATTTTCCCACTCTTCCATGTCAGGGGCTTGAGGTTTCTATCAAGTCAGCCTTTGCTCTGTTTGGTGTCAGTGTAAGCACACCCCGCTAATTTTCTTTATTAAATATCCAATGTTTTGTTTTGTTTTGATACTAGCTTAATCCTCACTCTCTTTTGAAACATGTCTTATTTATGTAGCCCAGTCTGGCCACGAACATATACTATCCTGTCTCAGTTTCTCAAGTACTGTTTATCACTGGAGAACACATGTGAGGGCTAAAATTATGTTTTAAATATTAATTACTGTGCTTAAGAAATCTATAAAATGGAGGCAGAGGCAGGCGGATTTCTGAGTTCGAGCCAGCCTGGTCTACAGAGTGAGTTCCAGGATAGCCAGGACTACACAGAGAAACCCTGTCTCGGAAACCCCCCCCCCCAAAAAAAAAAAGAAATCTATAAAACAAAACTGCCTCTAATCTGTAAACTCCACTTGTCCAGGGACAGATAACTTCCTGGAATACTGAACGCTGTTGATGTAAGATAACAAACCACACATTTTCACTTCTGTAAACAAGGCTGTTTCCACCAGCTGCACAGAAAGTGTTCAATCACATATAGGTAGGAGGTGCCTTGGTATAAAGTACATCAGATGTATGCTTGTCCCGAAAATACATATTGTGAGTTTTGCCTTTATAAGCACCTCACTAACATAATTTGAAGCCATTTTCTGGGAATCCCATGTATGGGCCAGTGTCCATTGTCCTGGTCAGTATTTAATGAAACTTGCTTCAAATTTGGCTCAGAAATTGTGCTCTTACTTTTGTCTGGTGGGATTAAGTTACCACTATGCCTGACTCTTGCTAATGTATGATACATTGAATGACTCCCTTTACCCAGTATTTTAAACTCATTGGGAAACCAGTAGTTGTTTCTCTGTTCTACTTAGCTGGCAAACTATTATATTACTATGGAAATACCAACACATTTATCAAGTTTTAGGTCAATACACGAAGAATACCATTCCCTTCTGTCAACAGAAAACTTGCAATTCCATTGTGCTTCTTACAACATTTACTTTACCATTTAATAGGTTTTTTTTCAACTTCACCTCCTGTAACTCACAATTTTCTTAACCCAGAGACATGTGTTCTGAAGCCTGTACTTAAAGAAGGTAGCACTGGTCAGGGTGTTCCTTGAGGATACAGTACTTCCTGAGTAGAGCAGCACCGGGCAGGGTGGACTCTGAGGTGTCAATAGTGAGGAGAAAACTTCTCCCAACGTCAGGATGTGTCTACTTTCTCTTGTATCTGACTGGTCAGTTTTCACTGCTAGTGTATTGATGTCACTTTGCATTTAAAGGTGAGGGCAACAATGTTCTCAAACAATTTTCTATAATGTTCCAATAAAAAATGTATTCCTATGTTGTCTATGGGTATTTTTTCTGCATGTATGTTTGTGCACCATGTATTTGTAGTGCCTATGGAGTCTAGAAGAGGGCGCTAGATCCTCTGGAACTAGGATTAGAGACAGTTGTGAGACACCATATACGTTTTGGAAACTGACCTCAGGCTCTGTAAGAGCAGCAAAGTGCTTTTAACCCCTGAGCTAGCTCTCCAGTGACTGTGTATTATCTCCTTCCATTTAAAATATTAATGATCCTTAAAAAAAGGGGGGGAGGCCCGGGCGGTGGTGGTGCACGCCTTTAATCCCAGCACTTGGAAGGCAGAGACAGGCGCATTTCTGAGTTCGAAGCCAGCCTGGTCTACAGAGTGAGTTCCAGGACAGCCAGGGCTACACAGAGAAACCCTGTCTCGATAAACCAAAAAAAAAAAAAAAAAGGGGCGGGATGGAGGGGGTTCTCTGTGTAGCCCTGGCTGTCCTTGAACTTAGCGTGCTTCTGCCTGCCAAGTGCACCACCACTGCCTGGCAATGCTCCAATTTTAAAAACCTCATTTATAAAGCCTTTAAAAGAACTATTGACCCCTCTCCTTCCTTCAGAGTTATTTAATGGCTACATGGGACTCAGTATCTCATGAGCAGACCCCGGCTGCTAGAGTACAGCAGTCATCTGTGCAAATGAAATCAGCACTAATTCTGGAGAGCAAACTGTCTATTTTACCCAGGACACAAAGGAAAACTACTCACAGGTACCATATGCAGGTTCCCACTGCAGTGACATCATCTGGAACTTCTCCTCGTCTGTGTCTATGTCCAGACTAGAAAGATACTGTTTCACTTTCCTTGCCATTTGGGCATCTTCATACAGTTTCTTGGCATTCAGCAGTGAGCTGCGGCGTGCTCTTTTCTTGTGAGCACCTCCCTGGACATCTAGCATGTTAGAATTTGTGCTGCCTTGACTTAATGACCTGTAAGAAGACAGAAACTGCAATGAGAACCTGTAAGGATGAGAAGTAAGCATGAAAGAAGGAAGACTCAAGTATTTTTTTTTTCTGTTAATGCTATTGCATGCTGATGTAAATGAGTTAAAAGATGAAGAGCATTAATGCAAAGTAATTTGGCACAGATGGCAATGTTCTCAATTAAGAACAAGATCCGGCGAAACATGGATTTCAAAAGAGTAAGATACCAGTTCCTCCCTGAGCAACATATCCCATTACAATCTTTGTAATTACAATCTTTGTGCCTATGCAACCCATGGCACACTGTGCTAACAAAAGCTTTCCTCTGGTCCTTTCAGGCCATGCACACTCTAAGATGTGGCAAAAGTCTAGGTCAGGATATATTTGTTCTCAGCCCTTCAGCAAAGGCAACCAGAGCAGCTTTGTTACCTGGGCTGCTTACAGTATGCTATTAAAACATCATTTTGTGACAGCCAGGGCATTTCAAAAATAGAGATTAATTTTATCAGAAACCACATCTCGACCAAAAATTAAAGAGAACCAAGATAATATCTAAAAATAACATTCCAACCTACGATAGTGAGAGATCAGAAATGCAGTAAAAATTGCTACCATCTCTGCAGGTACAATATGGTCAGACATTATTTGCATTCTAGAATTCACTTGGTAATATTCCTGAACATGATGGGACTTCAAACTGGGTCTCAAAAATAAGTACTACTCAAATAAACTACAACTTTATCCACTTCTACCTTTTCTGTCAAGCCTGCTTATACCACGCACATCCAGAACCAATGGAAGGTAGCAACTGTTGTGTAGCAGGTCATTTCTAACAGGCTAGCAAATTCAATGCTTACAGAGGATTGTTTGTATACTTATTGCCATGTGTATGCAGAGGTGGGAACATGGCACTGCAAGACTGTGAGGTCTGAGGAGCCGTTCTCTCCTCCTGCCTTTATGTGGACTCTAGGTACCACTCATGACTCCAGGTTAGCATGGCTCAAATGGTCTTTAATGTGACAAGAAGAATATCTCTATTTTTGATACTAGCATCGTATTTACAGAAAATGTTCTAAAACATGGCCTACTTGTTCTTTAATGCTCACACACCTAGCTTAAAACAGACACCAAATCTTACTGTTTCACTGTAAATCATATAAGGCAGAACTGAAAACCTATTATTGGCATTTTTTTTTTTTTTGGGTTACATTTTTAAGAATTTTGAAATAGGGTTCTCAGGAGACGGGGAAAAAGGAGGCAAAAGTGCAGTGACAGATGCATGAAAATGTCATAAATAAACCTACTATTTTGGAAGTTACTGAAATAACCAAACCAAACCAAGCCAAAACCCAACAATTCTTAAAAAAAAAAAAAGAAAGAAAAGAAAAGCAAAGAGGAAGGAAATAGTACAGTTATGCCTTGCATTTTAGTTTTGTTTTAAAGACAGGGTTTCTCTATGCAGCCCTGGATGTCCTTGAACTCAAGAGATCCATCTACTCCTGCACCCCAAGTGTTGGGATTAAAGGCATGCAGAGTAACCTCCTGGCACACTGATGACAACTTCTAGCTGTGAGTCAGGCAGAAATGATGGCGTGGCTGTAAGCAACCCATGGAAAAGACTGCAAAATTTGCAAAAATGGTTTGGAAGAAAAATCTAGTAATTAGTGAATTACCCTTTAACCTTTAAGAAGTACTTGATTAAAAAGGATGAAACCTGAAAAATTCAGTAAATATCTAACGATGTTAAGGGAGACAAGGCCCTAGTTGTGTGCTGAGCCAGCCTAGATTCCCACAGGGTCAGATCTGCCTTCGTTTCTGATTTATCCTTAAGTCATGGATGACCATTATACTGGTGGTATAGAGGGTAGTACTGTGTATACTCCTTGTGAGCAGGGTCAAGGGACAGGTATTGGTGATTCTAAAAATGATCTGGAAGATTCAACTTCTCAATATGCAGTTTCCTTATATTTTCCTTTTTGTGTCTGTGTAAGGGTTTTACGTGAGGAAAACACAAAACTCATTCCAGATGGCACAGCAGCTGGACACAGCTCCAGCAAAGCTGAGTGCATTGCTACACTTACTGTCCTATCTCCAACTTTTGGGTGTTGGTCTTTGTGTATTGTGTTCTTGGATACTTTTTGCATTATGATTCGACTTATGTCTTTTCCTAAGAAAGACTGTGTCTGAGTCTTTTTAGGAAAATTCTAGAATTAACTCTATCTGGCCACTATTTGGAAGTCTTCCTTATGCCCTGGAGATCATTAAGCACAGATAAGCACATCGATAGATGAAGCCATTACTCCAAGAATCTCCTTAGGGTAGCAGCCCCTGAGCAAACTCAAACTCGTAATTTGTACAGGGTAAACAGACATAACTGACAAACTCTGACTGACTAGGAAAATAGGTTACAGATTCAAGGTCTCTCTTTATTATAGGCTTAGAGCTCTGAAAACATAGTTTAAAGAAAGGGGGTGTTGTACAGGGTATACCCCTGGAGGAATAGAATTCAGTAAATAAGATAGGTTGGCTAAAACAAACTTTTCCTACTTTATGGCGTAGAGGATGAAACACACAGTAAAAAGTTAGGTATTAGTATTTGCTATTCATAAAAAGACTGGTTCAGGGGCTGGAGAGATGGCTTAACAGTTAAGAGCACTGACTGCTCTTCTGAGGTCCTAAGTTCAATTCCTAGCAACCACATGGTGCCTCACAACCATCTATAATGAGATCTGATGCCATCTTCTGGTGTGTCTGAAGACTGCTACAGTGTACTCATATAAACAAAATAAATAAATCTTTAAAAAAATATGTGACAAAAAGACTGGTTTAGATACTTTCTTTAATTTGGAGTTATATGGCTAATAATAAGAATAATCTGTTTGTATTTTCTAATTGTGACTGAACTTGTAACCCTAGACATGTAATAAAAAGTACCACTTGGATAATCATTAGTCTGTCTTTGTTTTGTGGTGCTTATATAAATAAAGAAGCACCTGGTTGCTAGCATGCTAGACAGTCAGGGCTGCTAAGTTCCCCTGACCAATGCCTGACTCCCTCCCTCCCCTGGTTGTTTCCTTATCTCCTCTGCTGGCTGTCCTGTCAGCTATGACCCTCCAACTCTCCTCTCTGTGCTGGGGAAGCCCCAAGACTCCACTGGCATCCAGACACATGAGAAGCATGTCAATAAGCTCAAACAAGCATGGTACACATGCACTGGCTTTTCTTGGTACATAGATAAAACATCTTATAATGTGGTGACTATTACTGTGTGAGCATGCATGTGTATGCTACAGTAGATCTGTGAGGGTCACAGGACTGCTGTATGGAATTGGTTATCTCCAACTTTTATGTGGGTTCCAGGGATCAAACTCACAGTGAAATGAAGCCGTAACATTTATAAACAAATTTTTTTTTAGCTTTCTTTTTATTTTTAAACTATTTATTTATGTATTTATGTATTTATGTATTTATGTATTTATTATATGTAAGTACACTGTAGCTGTCTTCAGACACCCCACAAGAGGGCATCAGATATCATTGCAGATGGTTGTGAGCCACCATGTGGTTGCTGGGATTTGAACTCATGACCTCTGGAAGAGCAGTCAGTGCTCTTAACCACTGAGCCATCTCACCAGCCCCTATAAACAAATTTTTAATGCTAGCATTTAATAATTTTATCTTAGTTGTTATCCAAAATAAAAAAGCCAGCTTGTGAACAAACCTACCAACTATTAGAAAAGTTCTAATACATGAGACCGACAGGATAAAGTGTCTTCTGAACTACTGCCAAAGCATCAAATACTGATGTGAAATAAAAACACCAGATGTCTGCAAGCCCCAAATACTACAGGACTGAACCCTACCAGCTGAACAGTGGCTGTTGTAGCTCAGTCACTAGGTCATAAGATGTCTTGCTGAGGTAGTAATGCCATCAATTTCTACTTTCAGTAAGAAGAACCAGGGAAGACCAAGACACGAATGTATGACATAGAAGAAAACACACAAGAAATACACTAGAGGAGGAAAGTCAAGTTCACCAAATAAAAAACAAGACCACAAATAAGACTCAAAGACATGGTTAAAAACCTTCTTATATGTAGCCTAAGTATCTAACCTCACAATTCATTAGTTTTAAACATTAAAATTCTATCTGTGTTCTCTGTATGAAATTCCATATACCTACAGTTCCAACTCTTTTCTCATTTAAAATGAAAGGTCTAAGAAAATGATGCATAAGATCTGTGTTTCTAAACCGGATGGCTAGCAATGCGGAACTAAGAGTCCAGAACCTACTTAAACCACAAAAGGCTGAGCAGTTAAGTTTTAGGGAGACAAGGGAATCTTTTTATACAAAGGGTGATCTTTTTATACAAAGCTGAAACTTAAAGTCAATTTCAATCTAAGCTTCAAGTTTCAGGCATTCAGTGGATCTGATGAGGAGTTAAAAACTCTATTTACTTTTACAATACAGATCAAATAAAGATGTCTCTCTGGAAAACTGATAGAAAATGCAACCCTTACAAACAGACCTTTTATACACTAACATATATGTTCACTTTCATAAAACAGGCACTGAAATTAGAGAAGGTGCAGTCAGCTTTTAAAGCAGACTGTCTAGGTTTTGGTACACCATCAATAAGCTGCAAGACTGGGTAAGTTACCTTCCTCACCCGCACCACGGGGATAACAGATCAGTTCATAGTGTAAAAGGAGACTTTTAAAGGTTACTCATTTAGAGAGCTTACAACAGTGTACAGGACACAGGAGTATGCAACAAATATCTGTTATCATCTTCTACATCTCATGAATCTGTTAAATTTAAATCTAAAAAGGGATTACAGAATGCCAATAATGGAAAAACAAAACAAATGAAACTGAGACTAACACAAGGCTAGTTCTATCACTACTGTCACCTTGTTAGAAAAAGGCATTTATCAGAGTGTAGGCTGACGGAGTTAATAGAAGGCATGCTATCTGATTGGCGTGCATTAATGAAAAGGATGCAGCACATGTTAAGAGTGGCACAACCTTCATTCCAGTTGTTCACTTCCCCACTTACCCCAGACTCCGCCACCTCTTCTTCCTGTAAGCAAGAGCCACAAACATTGAAGCATGTGTTTGAATAGGAAAGCACAGAAAAAGACAACAGTTGAGAGTCAGAGAATTTATGCAGACAGAACAGAACAGAAAAGTTTACCAGGAAAAAAAAAATTGTATCTTAACAGTAAAAAATGGCTTTAATGAAATGAAGAAATGGGAAGGACACGTTGAGTCCTGAAGGTCAAATCCCTCTATAGCATGTACTTTAAAATATGCTTCAGATCAACTGAATTTTTACCTGTCTAGCCATTAGTTGACAGTTTTTTTTGTTTGTTTGCTTGTTTTCTAAGAGAGGGTTTTCGTATATAGCCCTGGATGTCCTGGAACTCATTCTGTAGACCAGGTTGACCTCAAATGCAGAGAGATCTGCCTGCCTCTGCTTCCTGAGTGCTGGAATCAAAAGTGTGAGCCACCATGGGTTGCCATTATAAGCTGATGTTACTAAGCAGCTTATAGGACCCCATCTGTTTACTCCAAACTTTCTATTCTGTTTTTGGAAGTGTGGGGACTGGTCTTAAGAACAGAGTTTCTACATACTTTTGGAGCCACTCATTTAAATGCTGAAAAATTACACGGAACATACAGATATATAAAACCATTTTTAAGTGAAGAAATTTCTCTAATAAGGTATTTTACAAGAAAAATTGACTAGCAAATACAACTTTGAAAATAAAAACATATCAAAGCAGGGGTGATGGTGTGCACTTATGCACTGTGCACTATGAATTCCAAGCCAGTCTGGGAACACAATGAGACCCTAATAATTTAGGTATTGGTTGAAACAACTGAACTAGAATAAATATATTTATTTCCCTGTGCATTTCTTACTCAACCCAGGTTATTCCCAAGCAAATAGCCAGGCTGCTTCTTTTTAATTGTTTGCATGCATGTATGCGGGTACATGTGCACATTTATGTGTGCTTAAGCCTCTGGTGTTGTTTCTAATGTGTCAGAAACCTGTTCCCCCTTTTTTGAGACAGGATTCTCTTCATTGGCTGGTAGCTAGCCAATTTCCATGATGCTGGGACTGATAAGGACTTAAGCTCTCACTGCAAGCACTTCACGGGGTGGGGCTCTTATGTTAATTTGGAAGCACAGCTGGCACCTTAGTACACTATCAAATGTTTGGCAGGGAACTAATTTATTATGTCTTCAGGCACTAGAATGAAAACATGCATGAGTAAATGGAGGTTCACATAAGACAAGAGACAGTGGAAAATCCACTGTACTCGGACATTAAACAAAAACAAAAACAGACAACAAGCCTCCTCCAGGTGTGCTTCGGTCCCTGGTTCTTAGTGGTTTTTGTTTCCACATTTTGGAGAAGTGACATTTCATTACATTACCAAGAGAAAGAAAAGAAATTTGGCACTCTTTCCACATTACTCTGAGAATCTCTAAACTAGAGCAAACAGGAGATCATCTACTAAGAAAAGCAGTGACTGTTCCACAGTGACATAAGTGAAGCTAGTGAAAGCAATACCTCTCCCAGCCAAACTCAATTGAACACACACTATAAAGTATCAAGTATCTTAGAATATATGTATTTTAAAAACACAGCAATTGTATGTCCTTAAAATTACTTTATTTATAAATGCCCTATTTGGAGAGGTACAAAAGGAAAATCTGATTTAAAAAAAAAAAGGTAAACTGTAATGTCTACTGACATACTGAAGACTATAAAATCACTGGGGACAGCTTAACAACACACTTTCTATAAGCTCTATACATAAATCTGGGGTAGCCTTTATAGGACACAAAGTACCAAAAAAAATTCTCGTTTTGGGCATGGCCATGTACACCTGTAATACCAGCAATTGGAAGTGGAGGCAGGATCATGAGTTCTAGACCAGCCTCAGTTACAAAGTGAGTCCAAAAGAATTCTCAGATAAAATTAAAAGATAAATAAAACTCTCATGAAGATGTAGCATGGCTAAATGTACTTTCTGGGAAAGAGTTTACATACAAGCCAACAGTTACAGTATAACTGTGACTTTTGGGAAAGAAATGTTTTAGAAAACTGAAGTACCAGTTAGATGTGCTAGTACTTTAAAAGAGAAGCAGAATAATTCAAAGAGATGAGACAATATGCATTCAGATGACTTCAGGGAGCTCAACATTCTTCTTCTTTTTGTTTGTTGGTACTCTATATAACAACCATACAGAACTACTTGTATAGTCAGAAAAGTAATTGGAAAAACTAGGGCTCAAATCTTAGCAAGTTATATAAAAACTATGTCCCCTGCTTGAGGGCCTGGGGACATAGCTCCGCAGTTAAAGGCACTGACCGCTCTTGCAGAGGACCTGAGTTCAATTCCCAGCACTTACATGGTAACTCACAAGCATCTGCAACTCTAGCTCTAGAGAGGCCAATACCATATTCTTCTGGACTCTGCAAGCATTGCACAGACACACATGCAGACAAACATATATAAATTAAAAATAAAACAAAATTGCTTGGGGTTCAATTTCTTCAGATGTAAAGGGAAGTAGACTACTGCTTACCTGTGAGGATTATCGTAATGAAAGATTACTGGAGACTGATGTGCATACAACACTTAGCACAGTACACAACAGAGGACAGACATCATTACCTCACCACCCTTGACGCTACCATAACGTAATTTCCATGTCATACCTCTGTCGGAACATCATGGCAGGGTCCATGTTAGCAGAAGTCATTCGAATAATATGACGGATTTCCTTGGCAATCATTCTTAGCTTCTCAAAGTTTACTAAGCCATCTACTTTGGAGTCATTTCCTACGAAATATATGTTTTTAAACATTCATAATTATAATTTTATCTCCAAGTAGCATAAGTTCAGTTATTACTCCTGAGCTTTCTTTATTAAAGTGTCCCCCCAACTCCTTTCTGCCGTGATCCCAGGGAATGACTTTCTAAGAGCTGTGTTTCCCATGGGATTAATCACTCTGAATACAGAAAGCGAATGTCTAGGGTTTATAAAACTAGTTCACTGTCTCTCAGGCATGTACGCAAGTTACACAGCACACAATCTCGTTCTGTACATGTTTTGCTCTATTGGAAGGAGACTACAGCACCTGAAAACTTAGGCTAGCCAGGTGACAAGGGCACTGTCTGGCCTACTTACTTATTAATAATTAAGTCGGCCTACAATTTTTTTTCATTTATAATTCTTAAAAATTTTCAAATAAATAAAAATGATTTAAGAAGTAGCAGATATACTCACAGGACTAAATAGTGGGAGATTAAGTTGAACTGGATTTCTTTCTCAAACAGCAAAAATTAGCTAAAACTAAGGTAGCGGTGGCATAGGGGTACTTTCTGGTCTTATATTCCCTTTTTTGTGTCTCAGAATCTGAATTTATACCTGAAACTTTAATCATTGGTATGAAAATCCCTGTGTGTAAGTTTTGAAGACTGTCAACTTTTCTTGGAGAGACTTGTTGTAAGACCAGATGGAGCCCATTTATTGCCTTACCTAGTCCATAATCATCAGGCAAAAATGTCAATGTTCAAAATTCAGTTTGCCTGACCATAGTAGCATTTAACTGCACGTCTGTAACTGTTAGTGCAACCCAATTTTTCTAACAAGATAGGCCCTGAAGCCAAGTTTGAGAACTCTATGGATCTAGATCACATCTCTTTTCATAGTAAGTGGCATCTGTACACTGGTCACAGGAATGGTTCATGGCTTCAATGCCAGCTGGAAACAAAACACCACCAACTTATTATGCTCAAGTCAGATCAATGTTGTAAGAGTACGTCAGAAGTCTGTGAGGATCTCTTCTTATGTAATGTGGTGATAATGATAAAATTCTGAGGCAGAAAGACTAGGCAACTAGGAGACGCTTCCTGATGATGACAATTAGCAAGGGCAGACAGGGGACAGGGAGCTGAAACAAGAGCTGAATAGAGCCCTTCAGTGTTTTGAGGTAACAAGAATAAAACCAAGTTAAATCCAATTAAACTTCAATGTTTTGCTTTGGGACTCTGACTTTATTCTGCAGATAAGGAGGAACCAAATGTAGACTGGAATAAAGCCTAAAAACCTGGAAATGAATTAAAAACATTTGGGCTTGGGGCTGGGGAGATGGCTCAGGGGTTAAGAGCACTGACTGCTCTTCCAGAGGTCCTGAGTTCAATTCCCAACAATCACATGGTGGCTCACAACCATCCCCAATGGGATCCAATTCCCTCTTCTGGTGTGTCTGAAGAAAACTACAGTGTACTCATTCACACACGCGCACACACACACACACACACCTACACCCACACTCACACACACATATATACACGTACGTACGTACGTACGTACGTACGTATGTATGTATGTATGTATGTATGTATGTATATAAAATAAATCTTAAAGAAATGTGGGATTAAATAACAGCCTTAACTGAGCAAGGTTTGATCCCTTCTGGAAGAATAGAATATTAGTCATAAATTTCCGAGTTTCTTGGGCAACTTTTCCATTATTCTCTAAACAAACAAACAAACAAAACAAAAAATAAAAACAGCAACGTACATTAAAAAAAAAATGAATGTGAACATGAAAAGATGTGAAAGAGGATCCAGAAAGAGAACCAGAGAAGACCCAGACTACAGAGTCACTACAGAGAAACTCTGAAATACGCATGTTAAACATGTTCAAAGATACAAAACTGCTACTTTAACGGAGAATATGAAACAAAACAAATAGTAAAACTGAGAAACAATGAACTAGAATAGGAATTCAGTAACAGGTTAACTGACTGGACACAGCTGAACAGAAGAAGGAGTGTCAACAAGAATGATAATACTTGGAGGACAGCAAGACAACAAGATAATCTGCAGAAAGATGTGAGGCTAAAGAGGCACAGTACTCAAGTTAGACAAAAGTAAAACCAGAGCCCCAAAACTGAAGCCAGAAATGGGCAAATAAGAATGTTCCAAAACTGAAGGAAAATAATCTATTTCCATATGACCCATAAATGTCTACAATGAAACAAAATTACAAACCTCATACCTTATAAAACCTAGCAAAACAGAAAGACATGAGAAGGCAAAGGTTACAACTGCAGCTATCAGCAGAGGCAGTGAAAAGAATAGTAAGACTATGATTGATATCTCAATCCTGACAATGAGAGCCAGAAAATAATGGATGCTAAAATGACTTCAAAATGCTGAAGGAAAGTGGCTGCCAATCCAAAACTACATTTCTGAAACTGATGTCTTGGCCTTTCAGATGAACAAAAATTGAGATCTCCATCACCTTAAGGTAATAATGGTGTCTGATGTACCAAACAAAAATCAAACTCCTAAACAACTTAGACAACAAAGCCCTCAAACCCACAAGGTATACTAAACACATGGACAGACAGAAGAAACGTAGGATGAAAGAAACAGCAGCAAACACAAATAGACACACACGAAATTAAACACTGATTTTAGTAACTGACAGTAAAACAACGTAGGACCGACAGCACAATGGGTGAATAAAATTGGAGACGAGTAAATAAAACTTGAATAGTCCAAATTCTTCACATGGCCTAAAATAACACAACACTAATGAATACTGGCAAACGCACTGACATTTACATCATCTGGTGTAACAGAAGAATAGAAAAACAGTACATGGTTACTAAGGGAACAGAGTAGGAAAAATACCATTATCACAGAAAAGTTAATGCAAATAGAGTGTAAATGAACTATAATGGTAAAAGATTAAAAAACAATTTTAGCTAAGAATTTCTACTCATCAAAAAATAACCTTAAAACAGTCAAAGGGCAAGTTATTCTTGTTTGTAGAAATTGTAAACAAAAAAGGAAACCTACTATAAAATGAGCAAAGAATCCAAACTGGTAACTGTCAAGAGGGTTACTGCACAGAGGATGCTCAGCCTCATTCATAGTCATGGAAGTACACATTATAAGAACGTCAAGATACAAGCACATGCTTATTGTAATGTGTAAAAACAGAGCCTGACCTTAACAGACAATGTTAATGATGAGCAGTGAGAGAATACCCACAGTGCTAGAAACCAACCTCACCACCACACCAGGTTTTTTAAAGGGTTGAACCAAAGAGTCTTCTCAGAATATATTGTATAGTCATTAAGAATACATCTGCCTAAAGAGTATGAAAAGAGAATAAACAGCATTCTTCACAGCAGGACAACAATGGAAACTACTTAAAACCCACAAACCAGAATAAATCACTGTACAGCACTAAGACTTGGAACACTAACCTAAGCAGTTTTGGACAACAGTGAAGATTCTCTCTAATCCTATGTTAACCAAAATAAGCCAAAAATCAAATCAAATAAACATTCTGTAAATCTGTTTGTCCAATGTTCAAGAACAATTGAGACTTAACTGCGGCATAAGAAATCAGGATAGGAGTCACCTTTGGGGAGAGGAAGAGGGGAGGGTTGGGAGTGAGCAGGAGCATGCTTCTAGGATACTAGCAATGCTTAATTTTTGCCCATAAAACTATTATGTTGTCAGATTTTATTAGTTGTTCATTTGTTTTGGACAGTTTTACTTATGTGAGACTTAAATTTTAAAAAACTGGGAGGAATAAATATTACTAAACTTAAAGCAAATACAAGGCTGGGAATGTCTGGTACATGCCCGAGTGCTAGAGAGGTAGACAGAGGAAGATCAGGCACTCGGGGTTACAGAGAGACTCCACTTCAAACAAGCATACCTCACACGGGATATTAAGTGTCAGCAAATAGTTTCATCTTAGTGTCAAGTTTATATTTGAACTTTTACTGTGAACATTTCAATTTGTTACTATCAACAATACAGCTTTAGATGTCATAAATTCACTGCATTTAACTTTAAGAAGATTTAGTGACATGAAATAATTATATTGAAATGGATAATAAATTAAAACGCTGCAGCTAAAGCTAAACACACTAATTTTCAAATGACTGAAATACCTTCATGGAGGAATGTCATATCCTTCTTGACAACAGGGAAGAGTGGAATAATTGGAGGCTGCATGCTTTGACTACTAAGAATATTTCTGTATTTTGCCATATTTCTAGATGGATCAAAGAGGTCTTGTAGATCATGAAGATGTTTCTCATATTTGCTTGGTAACTTTTCCCAAGTGCCTCTGAGTCGTGCTACTGGTGCCAGGTTCAAGCCACTGTCAAAATGAGAATAAAAACATTAAGAAAGAATTTTAAGGAAAGGGTAGGTTCAGGTCAATAAAGTACACAACCATGATCTATAGGAGGAAATAAGCAGGATCTATTTTAATACTTGGAAACAAAAAAGAACTATAAAAAAATAAACAAAAGGGACTCTTTTAATCTTAAATAAGAAAAATCTCTTCCAAAGGACCTCTGGTAGTATAACACTTGCTTTAGACTCTGCATGTAAGAGACAAATGTAATGAGCACATAATAGTTAAAAGGAACGTAAGCATCAGTGTTGTTCTTTATCAACTAACTTAAACAACATGGACTTCAAACAGTTTAAATGACTGACTGAGGTAGTTTCAAGTTTCTGTATCTCAAGTCTCCCATTTTGCCCCCTAAGTCTCCAGATATCCACTATCCCTGTTGCAGAAGACTTTAGACAAGTTCAGATATTCCCTAAGTTGAAAATATAATTCATGTCCATTAGGTAGCGCTCTCTCCTCATTCCTTTCCTTTCATGCTGTATGCCAAAGGTCAGCTATCAATAAACAGTGTGTATCTAATACATCAGTATTCCTACAGTTTAGTTCCCTGCTTCTCAGGCTTCTGATTTTTACTTACACCACTACATGTAAAACGTTCTCCAACTTCCAATTTTAAGGTAGGAATTAAATGTTTGTTCCCCCCTGTTTCTAAGAAATCATCTTCCCACTACTGTAAGAAGGATAAAACAGAAAATGTAACTTCAGCCAAGTCCCAAACTAGAATGATTGCCAAAAATTAGCCAAGGTTAAACAGCAGTAACTAGAGATACCAAAAAAAATGACACATACAGTTAAAAGAATGAAGGAAGACTGAACAGGGCTCCAAAGTTACCAGAAACAAAGAACAATTCCTCATTTGGAATAACAGCAAAAAAAGTCTATGTGTTGACATCAGGAAGGGTTGATTTCTACAACATGAGTGTCAAGGGCAGTAATATTAAATCAGTGCCTGTAAAGATAAATTCTAAAAGGAAGCTATTTGGGAGGATAGCAGGGAGAAACTAAGTTGTACATAGCCCTAAGGCTGCCAATCTCCACTCACTTAAAAAGCCAAAGGCAAAATAATTTACAAGGCCAATCCTGTTAGCTAGGGATTGTGCCCCAGCTTCTCTCTCAGATGAGCCTCGGTAAATAGCTAGTATAGGAAAGTCTTCACTGAGAAAGAATGCAACAAATACATACAGCAAAAGAATAGTTAAAGAACACTTGCCTTAGGAGGATAAAGTACAATGCTTCCAAATTTTATGAACCCAGCATAGAACTGACATTAACATTCACAAACCATAAGACCATTAAAGAACATTGTGATAAAACTTACCATGATTACATGTGTGCACGCGCGCACACACCCACACACCCCTTCCATCAGATTGTAGGGTAATTATTACTGTGAAACTATTAAAATAATTTACTATATAACTTATGGTCACTTTGATACTAAAATATCATATAGGCTGAGGGTACAGCTAAGCAGCCAAATGCTTGTTTAGCATGTGTAAGATCCTGGGTTCAAGTCTCAACTGTGTGAAAAAAATCAAATAAGCCTTAAATTCAATTTTCATTCCTAATTTTTAGTCAGCAATATAAAATCAATAGCCCATTTTTCAATCTAAAGACTGCATTATGTTTAATGGAGTAATATTAAAAATATACTTATTATGAACCACAATTGTGCAAAGGCTCATATCTGTAATTATTTAATGTGTAAATAAGAGGAAATAAGCAGATAAGATAAAGACACAGGTAAATGGGAAGAAACTAAGTGTTTACTATTATTTGAATGAAACAAGAAAATGAGATTATACAATGCCCCCTAAAATATTAACCCAAAACCATAAGGAAAATCAAAAGGAAAAAAAAAGAGTATTATTCCAATATATGGAATTGATACATATATACAGAAGAATGCTCAGCAGAAGCAACAAATGATCAAGACAATATAAGGATGCCATTCAGTCATAAGATATACTGAACACTCAAAGAAGTGCAAGACTCACATGAACAAAACTATGGATGTCACAGAGGGAAAATGAAGTGTAGCAGTGTTTTGGGGGTAAAGGAGCCATTGCTAAATAAATCTATGTATTCTGTGTAATTTCAACAAAAATATTCCACAATACTTTTTTAAAGACATAAATGAACTGACTCTGAGGCTCGTATCAAACACACCAGCAACAGCCAGAAAAAGGAGGAGGAAAAGGAACAAAGAGCTTGACTAGTTCTGTGAGAACTCAAGGCTTTTAAAGCTTTAAAGCTCTAGCGACTACAGTTGAATCACTAGGCTAGAATGTAGAAACAGACCAATTATGTTTGAGGTTTTAACAGCATATTATACTTTTTAAAGATTTTTTTTATGTATATGAGTGTTTGTCTACATGTATGTTTACCACATGCATGCCTGGTGCCTGCAGAGGCCAGAAGAAGGCATTAGATCCCCTAGAACTGAAGTTACAGATAGTTGTGAGCTGCTTCTTCAAAAGTTAACATTAGTTTTCCTAGCTGGGTGTGTTGGTGTACATCTTTAATCTACCACC